TGAGACATGGAGGAGAAAGGTGGGAGAGGCTGAGAGGTGATACAGTCAATAATCATCAGATGTGTATGATTTTTTGAATGACTTTCTTTTGTCAAATCTCCATTACCTAACTTCCCTAGCCTGACTTTGGTAGTTATGGGTATAATTTATGAAAATAGCTGGGCACTGTATTTTTTCACATTTTTTCATGGTCCAAACCTCACTTTGGCAATCATCCCCTTCCCTTGACATTTTGGGTTTTTAGTGGAATGTGTCGACAACTGGATTGACATGTTGAATTGTAATAATTTGGTAATCCATTAACCTTTCTTCTAGCGCCAATTAATAAAAACAAATCACATTTATCGTCATCATCAGCCTCAACACTTTTTGTTCAGTGCTAATTACATGTGCACATGCTATGGCAATTAACAAATGTTATATGGTAAACATTGTTCCTGATTAAACACTAACAAGTTAACATTGTCATTGTATGCCTGTTAGCATGCTGATGTTAGTATTAGTATTTAGCATGGCTGTAGACAGGTACAATACTTGTTAATAGGATCAAGTTGTTGTTGGTTTTTCTATTTTCCAGTGCTTTAATGTAACTAAGTACATTAATGTTTAAGCAAAATGTATAATTTCCTGTATGTTTTCTGTAATGATGTATTATTGTGCATTTTATTATGAGCCGATGTATTTTACTTCCTTTCAGTTAAAATGGATTGACTCTGCTCTTTTATTATCCTGCTTCATTAAATAGACTAAAGACAGCTGTTTGTTGTATCATTGTTTATTTGTTCATTTATCTGTGAGGAAAACCATAATTTCCACCACACACAACATATCAGAAAGAAATATTGTACTTTTTACTCCACTACATTTGGCTGACAGCTTTAGTTCCTTGTGACTTTTCAGATAACAATTTTTCATACTCGTCCTGTCCAGTGAAAACCATATATTTATATTTTGTATTTGAAATATTCGGATAAACCAAATGATAAAGTGTTCATTTAAGGGTTGAGAAAATTCTCCTACTTTTTAAGATAAATTAAGCTTCTTGGATTAGCTGGAAAATGCATTGTCACTAAGATGAAAACAGGGCCGTTTTTCTGAGTTCATGACAAAAAAAAACATGTCAAACATATGACTATCCTACAGAATATGATGCATTGCTGTGGGTTAAACTATCCAATAGTTGTCCTTTAGTCTGACTCACAACAATCATTCTAATAAAGATAAAATAAAGTGAAAATGTGTGATTCAGCAGCAATAAGCAAGATTTGGTCTGAGCTTGGACGTTGTCCTGTGCTATAGGTACAAATGATGATCAATACCACCTCTATTTAATATTTTTTTCTGCATCAAGCTTACTCTCCCAAAGGCTCAGTGGGAGCGAGACTCGGCTCAATAATGTGTCTTTCAACCTGGAGCTCTAATCAAGCCCGAAGGTCTCCTTCTGAATCTTGTTGCATTCTGAATCTCATTTCCATTCCCCGTCCCTCAAGGCAAGGTAAAACAGTCCCGAGGTATGGGCAAAGGCTTTACTTTGTACCGCATGACTAGCCTTCACCTGCAGTTCAGTCAATTGATATGGAAATGACGGGCAGCCAAATACCTCTGACTGAAGGGAAATGATGGCGCAGACACACACTTTAAAAAAGCAGAGAGGTAAACATAACAACAAAGGAGTGACAGTGATGACTTTTGCAAATCTGGTGCTTTGGTCAATCTAATTGTCAGCTTCGTTTGTTCAGCTTTTATAGTGACAAGGTTAGACAACTCATCATGATGAGGATTTAGAAGGACAACAAAAGATATCCGCAACTCCAAATTTTTACGTTATATAACATCAAGATTTAGTGTAAAAAACTACAGTTCAAGGCTTGAATGTTATCCTATAAACAATAGCAGTAAGCAAATGCATTATTATATTAAAAACATTTTTAAATAGGCTGTGAAACAAAAACTTAAATGATTAATATTGTTTTTCAAGCTTCTTCTCATCACTTGAGTCACAGAGGATTGTCTGTGTACTCTTGTGGGAACCTATTGAAGTGAGGCTACCATATTTGGTCCATAGCATAGCATAGTTAAATTACGACTCAAATTTGATGAAGTGTGGAGCGTCTAATACTGGAGAGAATTAGGATGAAATATGAGGAAAAGGGGGAACAGGAAGCGATTGAGGCATATTAACAAAGAGAGAACAGTAAGCAAAGCCCTTCAGAGGACGAATCCCACTGCACTCTCTTTTGAATGTGCAATGTCTTGCTGCCATAGCACTGTACCCTTTCCCTCCAATTGTGCCGTCTTTAGGAACGAACATTCAAAGGGGAGATTACAGGGCTCGTTCAGCTTCCATCTCTACAATAAGTGAAAATGTGGAACACCAGCAGTGAGACTTAGCAGTGTGCCAATCAATACCAGCCCCGGTGTTCTCTGCGACCACAATAATTACCATCCACAGGAATGACATGTTTGAGCTTTGCAGAAGGTCAAGAGCAGATTGGTGGCACATGACGTTTCCATGGCACCAGTCTGTGTAAACTGTGATCCACTCTTCAGTGATGATGAATTAAGGCTTGTCTGATTTGTTTGGAAGTCATTAGTATCATCAGTATGGAGTCATTAATGGAGAATGGCTAAAAAGGTGACACTTAAGCTCTGACGTATGCAAGTATGATTGTGCAATTACTTTTAAAGCTTTGGAAACAAACGAAGGAAACTATATTATGTTGTGTTATTCTATGTTTAATTTTACAGACTTACAGTATAATA